ATATACTGAAATGTCTACAATTAGGTTTGGTTTTTTTGAAGGTAGTTTGCTGTTATCATGCAGAGTGATTTTTATTACATGTCTTTCATTGGACGTAATATAGAACCGATGATTGTTACGTAAATGTATGGACCATCAACTGCTTATAAATGCATTGAAGAAATTAAAATTGCTGTTACATTGTTATATTTACATCCACAAAATCAGAATGTATAGTCTACACTACTGTTGCACGTCTATGTCCTATCATATATACTCTAACAAAATCAGAATGTGGAGTCTACACTACTGCAAAATTCTATGTTGTAGATATTAACACTTATGTCCTGCAAGTTGAAGAAGAAATCATTAGTATACATGAACGTCATGCACTTCTAAACTAATGTAATATTCATTGTTGACAAAGTATTTCATTAAAAAAACAATGTTTCCAAACCATTTAGTTGAGGAAGACAATTGTGTGCCGTCAACATTATCGTCAAGTGATGTCAACAATGACACAAAACCAAGTGGTACCCAATGTTGATGGTCGCAAAGGGCAACAATTACATGAGTTTTGACAAATGACTTTATTGCCATTTTACATAACATAAACTGCATAAACAAGTATATCAATCCCACAAATAAATTCAAATGAATTGCATATCACACTTTAAATAAAGCAAATTCAATTGAACAATCACTATAACATGAAATAAATTTCATTTTTGACACACACCAATCCAGGATGACCGATAATCAACATGAGTTCCTTCGATGTTCCCCTGTAATGGCCAAGATAAGATATTAATGAACTTATGAAATCATCCAATACAAAATAACATGACAGTTGTGGATATAATACTTACAATATTTGTGGTGCACGTGTGCTGGCCTTTATTTTGTAACCTTCGCGTTGCACTTTTTTCACTTGTTGACACCTTTCGGAGTGAACGTGGTCTTCCTTTCCTTTTAACATGCAACGGGCTACTGAATATCAATGTCAACGTTGTCAACATATAAGCTTTGTGAATTTCTAGGAGTATTACTTTCGCAGATATTGGTATCTATTTGAGTTTGAGAACGTTGAGATGTATGTGTTGGAGCAAATTTATTCATCATTTCATGCAACATGTCCGTCCGCTTCAATTGACTCGATGCAACTTCAAGCAATCTCATAAAATCTTTTACACAACTCATCGTATCGTTCAATCTGCGGTTGCTTCTCCTTTACATTGTAGGTGGTTTTCATATAAGTATGCTTCCTTCTCACATTTTTACTCCATCTACTTAAAATGTATTTGCAGGGAATCTTTTTAACCCTTTGTTGAGCAAGGACGACCAAACAATGTCGGCAAAGAATACCTTTGAATTCAAATAGCAAGCACGTGCAACCGACATTTTGGTCATCAAGGTTGAAACTTACACCGTACAGGTGTTCTTTAGAATCTTCACCACAAATAGATTCCTCCATAACGTCATAAAACCAAGCAGATCCAAGGCAAGACACATGCACAACACTGCAGCTTGATTTTTCCTCTAAATTCTGCTTGAACCTCTGCGAATTTTGAATGTGTATACTCCGATTGAAATTGTCTCTCTATCGTAGACTGTGATCCACAATTAATAATTGTATGCATGGATGCAAAATCAGCTTCATATTCCTTCTCAGCCTTGTCTTGTAAGGCATTTTCATACTGCTTGACAAATTGTTGGAGGGATGTCATTGAGGTGATATATCCATCAAAAAATGCATTCATACTTTCACTTCGTTGTGTAGTTGACATCCCAGCCCAAAATTGGTTTTTCAAAAAGCATGGAACCCATCTCTGTTTCTCTTGGAAAAGGCTATTCAACCACTCATTGTCTTGTAAGCCAAAATCTGATATGAAATTAGCCCATTTGGATGTGAATTCAGATATGGTGGAAGACTCATAAACAACCTCCTTCATAGCATACTTCATATTTTTATATTCCGTATAACCTTTCAACTTTTCTCGGAATTTTTTTCATTATATGCCATAGACACCACCTATGACGGGCTTCAGGAAAAACTATCTCGAATGGCATTTTGCATTGCCTTGCACCGGTCGGTGATAATACCCGTAGGAGCCTTCAATGACATGCAACGTAACCATGATTCAAATAACCAAATAAAAGAAGTGGTGTCTTCACTTGATAACAACCCACACCCTAACAATATGGAGTGTCCATGATGATTTACACCCACAAATGGTGCGAACGGCATGTCATATTTATTGGTCAAGTATGTTGTATCAAATGAAACAACATCGCCAAAGTATTCACAAGCCGCCCTACTTCTAGCGTCAGCCCGTAAAACATTTTTTATACGATTATCATCATCCAAGTCTATATCAAAATAGAAATCCTTGTTCAAGTCCCTCATTTGTGAAAAATAATTCAATAGAGCTTTCCCATCACCTTCTTTTCCTAGTGCACGTCTTTGTTTATTGACATAGTTGCGTACATCTCGTTCGACAAATTGGAGGTTTTCATAACCTCCTGCACTACTAACAACCGACCGAAAGCTTTTATTGATCCTCACACTCGCATCATCATTTATGTCTAGAGTCCTCTTCACATGCAAACTAATGTTCCTATTGCTTCGAAACATTCCGGATTTCTTTGGGCTAAGAGAATGTGAATGTTCATCATTCACCGACATAATATACCATAGTCCTTCCTTTAATACAACTCGTTATCCGTGCAGGACATGAATTTGTTTTGGTGGGTTGGGTTCTAATTTCGGTAGGTGTAGCGAAAACATACTTACCAGCCCTTGCACACACCAACATGAAGTACCGCAATTGGTTATCTGGCCCCTTCTTTGAACTCCTTGTTTTGATGCCAAATCCTTTTTGTATGGCATATTGTCGATAAAATGATTTAACTGCATCTGCAGTTTCAAAGAACATTCCTACACATGGAGCAGAACCGTCGTATTCTGTTGTAGTCCTGACATCTGCGTCAGGAGATCCTTCATCATGGCCAACCAACACTTCTTCTTCATGTAAACTTGTGGCATCTGCATTACTGGGTATTTTATCATGTACACGTATCATTTCTTGGTCTACACCTTTGAGAGGACCATCACATTGTTGTACATCCGCATCACTACCTATGTCATCATACACGGCCAAAATGCCTTCATTGACAACTACATCTCTGTTTTCATTTATATCTCCCATGCTAGATAAACGATGAAGGATACAATTCCTACCATTGCCAACAATATAATAGCAAGTTATATAAGTTCGGAACTTGGAGACGAAAATAGTCAATGTAAATGTTCAATCGTTTATCTACCCAAAAAACACAATTTTAGATCACAATGTAGACAAACTCTAAACGCTAAACCCTAAAAATATATAATGCACTAACTCCCAATAAGCGCGGCCTACAACAACAATGGCGAATGGAGACTGGAACGCGAACTTGGCGACACACAAATATGTTACAATGTAATATGCTTCAATGTGAGCAAGAGAATCAGAAAGATTGAAAATAACGTACCTGAAGCTTAATAGAAGACGCAGAGAGCGACAATGAGAGCGCAGAGAGCGAGAATGAGAGCACAGAGAGCGAGAATGAGAGAGTAGAGAACGGGAAAAAAACGCAGTCAGAAAGAGCGCGAGGTTGAAGAAAGTGGGAGGGAAGGATGAAAAAGAAAGTGACTTTAGATAGCGGTTACTTCTGAACCGCTAACAAAAACATACTTTAGTGAGCGGTTCACCCACGAACCGCTATATTATATGTTTTTTTAAAAGCGGTTCTTATTAACCGCTATCTAAAGTTTTGTCGCTCAAGCGAAATTTACATCGCTCGAGCGACGCTACCTGCCCAAAACACTGTGCATTTAATTTTTTTTATTCAATAATACTGTACATTTAATATTTTTTTATTCAGTTGTCGAATGGATGTTTACACTCGGGTGTCAAAATATCAGCACTCTTTGTCATATCCTACTGTAGAACTTGAAGAGTGTACTATGCCAGCCGCGCAATAGATCACTTCGAAGTCACTTAACTGGCACCGTACTTCAAAACCAATCAACAATGGTTCTTCTCTCGATGTGCTCTCGTATTATATTCTCTACGCAAAATAATGGTACTTTCATCCTCTCCCACCACACCAATTACTCTAAGCACAATTAATGTATACTTGAAAATATAAACACTAGTAACATTTCAAATTAATATTTTAAAAAACATTAAATATCATCCCTAATTTCATACATATTAATATTGATATCTCTAAGTTTTTCTTTAGTATTTTCTAGACTCAATATTTCTTAACTATGTTATTTTTTATCTTGATAATTACTTTTAAACTAATATATTTGTTAAATATTAGATATTGAAAAAAATTTGAAAATACTAATTTCAATATGGTGAATAATGGAGGAATAAAAAAAAATATTCTCCATTCTCAGAAGCAATAATAAGAGAAACAAGTGAGATAATAGTGGATAAGTGAGTATCCTTGTCTCGTGTCCACCCAAAACAATCTCATTAACCCCCACGCTTTGCTGTTAAATATGTTATTTTTAGTATAAATATTGCACTAAAAACCAAATATCATACCTTAAATAAACCCTTGACCCTCTCAACATCCTAAGCTCTCTCCTCTCGCCACGTGTCACTAGCACCCTTTTTTGAGGCCCGTGCCGGTGCCGATCAGTCATTTCCAGATATACAAAAATAAATAAAATATTCAGTGTCACATTATTTTACTACATTGATAATAATTATTAATGCCAAAGTCTACAATAATTTTTCCCATGCTCCTCCTCCCCATTAATATCAATATCAACTTTGCCTTTAAATTGACTTGGGAAGGCCATTTTGGAGAGAAAGACTGGTATACAATTGTTGTGGGGTGCAGGGTCAGAGCTGTGCAGAAAAAGACCCTTTTCAGTTTTTACTAGTGGACACTTCCTTCTTCATACATTCTTCACTTTTCTGGCATTCCTCATCTTTAGGTTCTTTGTTCATTGAGAGATGGGGAATTGCCAAGCTGTGGATGCTGCAGCTCTTGTGATCCAACATCCATCTGGGAAGATAGAGAGGTTGTACTGGCCAGTGAGTGCAAGTGAGGTTATGAGGAATAATCCAGGCTATTATGTCTCTTTGATCATACCATTGGCAGTGCCTGAAGGCCAGAATCAGGACCAGAAGACAGTGCTTTTTACCCGTGTAAAGCTGCTCCGTCCGAATGAGACTCTAACTCTTGGCCATGCTTACAGGCTGATCACTACTCAAGGTATAGGGTGAACTTAGTACTTATAACTTCTATGTTTTCTAGATGTGTTTGTTCGTGTTGAGTGAGAAGTTGATGTTTATAACTAAATACTTTCTTTAGCTAAATTGATGTGATTTTTGGCTGAGTTTCCAACACACATGTAGTGGTCCATGTGTTATGAATGAAGGTTATGTGTTCAATGGCTCTAAAACCCTAAGTGGGGCAATGTATATATGTACATTCTCAATTATACACATGTCTATACACAATTTACTTTTCAAGTCAAGATGAAAATCAGGGGGACCTATATGTATGCGTTTGTTTGATTAATTTCATGCTCTAAATAACCTTTTTGTTTCTGGGTTTCAGAGGTTGTGAAGGCGTTGAAAGCGAAGAAACATGCGAAGATGAAAAAGTCTCAGGTGAATACAGTGGAGAGTATGCAAATTGTGCAACTGGAAAAGGCAAGTCCAGATGGAGAGACTGGAGGGATGTTGGACACAGGAAATATATATCAGGTGTGCTTCTATTACTCATGAGCAAATTTTTTTTTCCCATTTTGGTTGAATACTATTTATGAATGATATTATATTAGGAAGTTTTTCAATCTATCCAAAATGATTCTGTGGAAGACTTACCCTGTTTTTGGTTGAACGTCGTATAGCTATAACGTGCATCAACTTGAAGCATAGAACACTTATACGTTAAATTGATAATTTAGCATGAATAAACACACTTAGATCAAATAATTCACTTTGCATCATATCCTTATTTAGATAAATTCTATAGAAATACTTACAGGAGATAAGAGAAAAATAAGTTATCCTTCAAGTTAAAATTAGCTTTTAATGAAACTAAATACTAGAATTTCTACAAATACATACTTTAAACATCCGATAGAAACTCATCTCATTTATTTTTTTTCCTCTTATAAGAACTCGCGAAAAAAATTGTTTAAGGACTTGAGTGGTATACTGGTATGACAAAGAACATTAGAAGGATGTTACAATAATATGCAGTTCTTCAGAAACAAATAACACTTAGCGAAAGAGAAACCATAAGCAGGATGCTGCAAGTTATATACAATTTTTTCTTCATTTTGTTAGTTGTGTCGTTATGGTAAACGAGTACTGATGTTAATGCATAATGGGTTTCAGGCAATGAGGGCAGACAGATACAGGCTAATGAATTCCACACATGCTGCGCTGAAGCTGAAATCATGGCGTCCCTCTTTACAGAGCATCTCAGAGTCTACCAGCTGAGTAGTGCTGGATTGTGCATGTAAGGTGTCTCAAGAGCATTGTTTGATTGCCTCTTTCATGTTTGATGCTCCTCCTAGTTGAATACCTGGTATCATATATGGGAAAAGAAGTTCAACAAAGGTTTGAACTACAGAATTTTCTTCCATAACCAATCACACCTCAACAACTAAATAACCATTTTCCAGGGACATCATGATTGTATAGCACAAAGAAGAGGAAAATTAAATAAATGGTGAATGTGAAAATCTACTGCAAGTGATTTACTTTTTTTTTTTTTTTTGAAGCATCCACATTATAAAATCTTTACATCGTAAAAGTAAAATGTTGTAACGAGGAAGTCATTTTAGTGTTGAGTTCCAAACATCCCAATCCTTATCAACATAATTTTGTGCCCATAATAGCGATGCCCTTGCAGCCAGAGCTGCTCCTGGTAATTTCTTCTTCTTCAAAGCAACCATCATATCCGTGAATGGCTCCACCAACAATGTCCCAGGACCTCCATACTCCTTGTGCAAAAACTCACTAAATATCTATTTTTCCAACAAGAAGGAAACATTATTATTATAACTAATCAGGATCAAAGAAAAATCAAGACATAAAAGCAATTTTTTCTCATTTATACACCAGGTAACTTGAAGCAAGAGCCTTATTAGCGAAGTCATACTCTATATCCAATTAAAAACACGTACACACACAGAACATATCATGTCACTTTTGTTAAGCTTTTCTCCACACCTACACTACGATTCTGTAAAACTCAATGTTTGCTAAGAGACACAAATCCGATGTTAATAGAAATGAACTATAATTTGGAAGTTTATGAAGGCTTTGGAGACCTGACCCTTATATATCGTGATTGAGATAACAAAAACTGGGAATTGACCAGAAAATCTTCAGCAATTTTCATCAAGTAAGAAGGGTTCATAACTACAAGTAGGCAATAAAAATTAACAGAGGCCTGATGCATCAATAGTCAACTACTAAGAATTCTGTGATTATGAAACTGCAATTGAATTCTTATACAACACGTAATTTTAATGCTGTTACCAACTTATCATTATAGATTGTTTTATTTACAAGGAATTTTCTGTATTTTATGATAGGATAAAGCTTAGATCAATTTTACGACATGTGGAATTTTTTTAAAACTCTGCAACAAATTGATGATAATTGGAGAGATTTGAACAAGATTAACGAAATGGTGATTGCGAGTAAACCGGTAAACCTAACTTAAGAGTTGTTCGACAAACCATTGAGGAATATTTAATTTATAATTTCTCGTTAACTTAGGACTCAATAACTGAAAAAAGGCAAAACAAGAGGTCAATGTAAATGAAGTCACGTGTAATTTGGACCAAATTGGTACATATCAGTAAAAATTATGGCGTTTTTGCTTATTTGACATGATTGCTTCTAGTAAAAGAGTATTTTCCTTTTCAAGTATGAATAGTGATCCTGGAGGTTCTCTCAGTTTTTTAAAATTTAGATACGGCAATCAACAGGGGTATTATCAGACAACAAACCGAAATTCTTTGCTGGAAAAAGATATATGCAGGCTATAATTTGTTTATTTAGGTATTTATTTATTGCGTTTTTGCAAAAGGATTCTTACACTATGGGGAAACTTGGTCTATGAGCAAGATCCATTACTCTCGGTCTCATCTTTTCCTATATACATTGCAGTAATTTATCTTTTTAATCAAAAATAGTTTTTGTACTTATATGCAATAAAAAGAATGCTTTAATAACACTTCCTGCAAGTATATCCCCTGTTCAAATGATTAAAACAATAGATATAAAATTACTTTCTTTTACTAATAACAGCATCGTAAAATCTGTAGAGAAAGGTGAGGTGGAACACGGGAGAAAACATGTACATCCTAACTCAAATTGCCACCTATTTCCAACAATCTATTTGAACAAAGATAGTCTAATATTATATTTAGATATAGCCATTGCTTTCTTAGATTAACAAAAAGAATGCAGAGTGATCAATATGCAATTAACATCTAACTTGGGAACAGGAAAAGAACTTTAACGTGATATAAAAAACTAAAAGAAAAAAGTAAAAAACAAAACAGAAGAAGAGAGAGAGAGAGAGAGAGAGAGAGATAGAAACTGATTGATGTGCATGTCTACACACACGGGTGTTCATATCTATTATCTGCAATTGATGCATGCGAATGAGTACAAAACGAGATTTTAAAAAATTGTGGAGCAATAAGGACATCACAAAGTAATAATGTATACATTGCTTTTCAAATTGACATCACATCTACAATGAAGTCTGGAGATAAAAGACTAGACAAATTCCAGAGGACTTGACTTAATAATCTGTATGACAGGTAATATGTATATCTTACCATCAAATCATACCAAAATCTAAATAGTCAATCATTGATGTATAGGTTAAGCAGATAACGAAGGAAAGAATGGACAACAGGATACTTACAAAGTTGCAGAAAATGTCCTAATCCTACCTAATTTTAGAATTTTATTGTTATATTTTAATAAATAGTAAGTTTAAGTACTTCGCAACTATGTTATTTAGTCCTACGTTGATCTTCCATCAAATATTTAACAGATTTTACTAGTGTGATACCTAAAGTGATGCCTTGCTAGACACATATAATGGAACAACTTAATTACACTTTCGATTTCTCACCATCGTGATATCAGAATTAGTAGAACCAAAGGGTAAATTAAAGCACGTCAACATATCATATCTGGTAGACAATTTGTCACATTCAATGTCACTGACTCGTCATCATCCAATGCCACCAAAGCAGAATTAGTTCAATATATAAAGAAGACCAACGATGAGATCGAAATGGTAAATTACAGAACCAAAGGACCTAATTCACCAAGTTGAAACTTACGAAACTAAAATCAAATTATGACAGTACTTGGGAAACCAAAGTATGATTAAGCTTGAAATATATCACAGTTCAAAAATTTTCCCGAACACCTAGCACACAAGTACGACCAACAAATCTAGGTCTTATCCAAACAGGGCAACCATCGCATTATTTGAAGTCGTCTAACACTAGCAATTGCTTCCTTTTTTATTTTTTTAAACCAAAGATAATTGATGAAACTTCAGAAGAAAACAGGAACGAAACGACACCGGCAAACGTTTTTGCCATAAAGTTAAGTTTTTGAAAAGAAAATTGACACTGACCTGAGCACAAACGGCTACAACCTCATCAAGGTCATCCCCGAACTCGTCCACGTCCTCCGAAAGCTTCTGAAAGAGTTCAGCTTTGAACTTCTGCCTCTCCTGCAATATACTTCAAATAATGGAATCAATAAATAGCATGAGGTTTCAGCATATGCAAATTTTCACGGCAAAATGCAAGTACTCACGGATTCTGCAAATTCGGGAATTGGGTCAGGGTACACGTACTTCTGGGTGGGTGAATGTGTGAGATTGCAAGCGAAGGAGTTTGTGGAAATGGATTTCACGGAGAGGCACGAGGAAGAAGAGGGTGAAAGTGGGCGTGGGAAAGAGTGGTGCAAGTTAAGAGCATCTGAAACAAATGCTTTCGTAGGAGAGAAAGTAAGCTTTACAGGAGAGGAAGTGAAAAGCAACATCGGAATTTCGTTTTGAACAGAATTAAGGAGTGTTAGGGCCTAAGAGAATCTTTGTCGTGGCCAAGATTCAGAATCTTGAACGCTGATAGTCTTCATGGATTTTACTTTTGAAAGTGAATATTACGGTAACAATCCTAAGTTTAGACTAAAAGGTCATCTTTTAAACTACACTTAACTCCTTAAATATAATATTTCATTTATTAGATATTATTTAATTATTAATGGTTTCATATTAATATTAAATATAATATTAGAGAAATTAATATATTAAGATAATATGTTGGAAAAATAATAAATCAATGTAAATTTTTTTTTTCATCATGTCAATTGTTAACACGTTTTCATTTTAAAATTAAATCAAATTTTTTTATCAAATTAATTTGATAATTAAAGAATGCTTAATATAAATTAAATACTTTTGATATATTTTTTACTAAAATTAAAATAAAGTTAATATAATTTTTTAAATAAAACATTTTCATGTAAGACATCAAATGTAAAACGTAATCTTAACCAGGTTAACACAATATTTTCATCTATTAAACGTACTTACATGAAATAAAATTCATTAAATCAATAAAAAAGAAAACGAAAAAATAAGTATAAGGAACCAAACCAAAACTTATGTACAGGAAGAAGACAATACCTATTCCGTAGAAAATTTAAATCCATTACGACAGATAATGTATTAAATCATACAAATTATAATTTGTTGAGATGCTGAAATTAGCAAACACTGTAATCAAAATAAATATTAACTTTATTCATATGTAATGGTTTGATTGGCACCACAATTCATAAATTTTAAAAGCATAAAAATGAATTCAACTTTTTACATTTCTTTTCATGCATAGACACATTATTCATGTGTAATGTTTGAACTAAAAATTAGTTTGTCTTAAAGTTTCTAAATTCTTTATTTACTCACTTTATTTCATATTATTTAATAAATAATAAAATTTATTAGTTTATATTTTTTAATGTATATATTTTAATTTTAATGCATGGTAATTTAACTTTATATGAGTATAATTTTGTTTTTCTGATACATCCAATTATTTTATTTATCAAAATTTGCTTTATTGTATGAAAAAAAGTTGCGAGAATAAATCATATGCTGTTAATCCTACCAATAATATATTTCTATTATTGTTATTATTTTAAAAAAATTTCTTCGAAAAATCAAATGTGAGATAAGATATTATTTTTTTTCTAAGTTTTCCAAAGTTCAACTAAAACACATTACCTTTTTATTTGACTTAACTATAAAATAGACTTATTATTATTATTATGAATCTATTTAATCTGAATAATATATGTCATCCAAATTTTGTTCAAGGTTCAAAATTTACACATTTTTTCTTAAATAACTTTTTTTTATCATTTTTAAATATATTTTTCCATTTAATTCGCGATTTCGATAAAAAAAATTGAGACTATGAAATTTTTTATTCAATCTATCTATATTATATATGAAATATGAAAGAGATTTATTTTTTATGTCTATTTTTTATATTATTAGAGAAATAAAAAAAGAAAAAAATAATATAGAAAAACTCGTTATTATGATTTATATATTCAAAAAATTAATAAAGAGGAGGGAGAACAAAAATGTAAGATGTAATAAATGAAAAATTATTGTAAGAATATTCAAGAAGTTGAAAGAAAAAATAAATTAAATTTTAAAATAATTTGATAATATAAACCCATCTATATTTTCACGATTACTATATAAAGAGATTTATTTTTTATAATTGTTTATGATGATCATTATTTATTTATTTTTTACCAAATGTTCATTATATATGAAAATATTTTTTTTATAATTACTAAGAGAAGACGATACTAGAAAGTAGTAGAAAGAGGAAAGAAAAAAAATTATATATTTAAAAATTTATGGAAATAAAGAAGATAAATAAATAAAATTATGATATTATAATAAATAAATAAAATAAAACAAAATTTTAAAAAATATATTTAAAGAAAAAATAATAATATAAAAATTACACTGATACTAAGTTTCCGCATTTACACTACTAAAAATATGTTTATTTTATTAAAAACTAATTTTTAAAAGTTTTTTATTAAATTTAGAGAAATATATTTAGGTGTGCAAATATGTAGGATTGGTTCTAAGGTCTAAGAATAATTTTGATGGGACTTGTTTATCGCCCCCAATTACTTATAAGTAATAGTGTTTATTAAGAAACTGTCGTTGGAACAATCCAATATGATGGTAACAATTTTGAAAAGTTAAACATCATATCACGTAGAAACAATGTTATTGAGATTTTTTTTTTTTTCAGTTTATTTTTGTGATTCTCACCAACAGAATTCAACAAATAAAAAAATATAATAAATCAGAGAGAAATACTCGTAACAGATCCTATTAAAATCAAAAGTGATAGTTGAATTGTGAGTTACTCATGAAAACACAATATTAAAGTGAATTTATAAAAATTAAAATTGGGAAAAAAATACTTAAATATGACATGATAGTGTGATCCTATCTAAGAACTCAAGTAGGTTGTTATAAGAATTCACTGTATATGCTCTAAGATTATTTTTTTTTTCTCTCTCTTTGTAATAGAGCTGTTTGTCCCTTGCACTAAATTGGGCCTGCACCAGCATCCATAATGTACATGAAGAAAAAAAAAAAAAAACTGAAGTTCTCCTTTCTATTTTGTCTACAAGGATCAATGTCCTGGATTTGAGTACAATGTTAAAATCATAGACCTTCAACGAGGTCTTCGAATTTGTAAATCCTGCATAAATCCTAAACCTTAACATGAACCTTCATAAAATCCATATCCATTGCAACTGGGCTCGAAGAACTAGCACTGCATATAGGCTCATCTAAGTATATAATATAACCACCAAAATATATAGAGAAAAAAAGTATTTCGTCACAAAAATTAAAGTTGACCCATAAAAATGGACTAATCTATATAATGTCTTCGGTTTAGAAATAAGAGCGAAATGGACTAATCTATATAATGTCTTCCGTTTAGAAATAAAAGCGTTTTGATCTTATGTTTATTATAATAACATAATTAGAATTATTTTTCATGTTGGAGATATTTTCTGTTTTTGAAACATTTATCTATCACAATATTTTGTCTTTAGAAAAAAAGAGAAGGTTATATATAAATTTTCAAAATTTGTTCTGAAATATTTCAGAATCATTTTTCTATAATATATTTCCAAAATTTATAATCTGGAAGTTTATTTCGAAAAATATAATCTGAAATTCATTTTTGAAATGAGTTTTTTAAAATATATTTGACAATATTATTATTTTAAATAAACATGGAGTGAAAAAAGAAAGAATGGATGCAGGGTTCAAGCAATTTGAGTTCGGAAGCCTTGGCCCAATTAGAAAGTTCTGAATGGGCCTGACTTCACAAAAGAAAAGAATAAAAAAGAGCACATTATATTAAATTACACACATTTCCCATATTATTCCTTTCTGGGTTCGTGGCCCCTGTTGTGCACGAAAAGCAATGTTTAATTTTGCATTAGATGAAAATTGGGAACGTAATCTTGTTGTCACTTCCGACCAAAAAGAATCAAGAAAGGGAATGTTGCAGTTGAACATGACAGAATGTGATTCTTGCCTTCTTTTCCTTTACACATATTCTATTAACCCATGATACTATTATGTATCACACGACATCAACAAATATTAAACCAATCACTCAATTTATTTCAAAACCCAATGAAGATAAGTACTACTACTGTACCAACTTTTGTTCAAGTTTCCAAAGTCACAAACCCTAGGTGCATACAAATATTAAGTGATGTGAACAGTGTGCTACAATTAACAAAATTAAAAACCGTGCCAAAGCACTTAACTTTTGCCCAATAAGTACTTTATGTATATCTTTCACATTATTTAAAACCAAACATTTCTTTTTCTTCCTTTCTAAAGAGTTCTTTTTCTTCTTTTAGGTTTACGATTGCAAAGTGGGGATTGGTGGTCGCATTCCGAGATTATTACTTGTATATTGTCGTTCGGGGTTATCTCAAAAGATTTGTAAAGTTTATTTAATTTTATAAAAATGGTTTATCATCATTGTTTTTAATATAGATTTTCTCAGCTCATTTCCAGCTACATAGAAACATATATATGAAAATCATTCTTTTAGATTATTTTAGTAAAACTACACTCTCATTTAGAAACGTTGTACTGATACTGGTTAAGAAGACAAAAGTAGAAAGTTTTTATCAAACAACATCATTAATATACATCTATAATGTGAGAAGACAGGTTCAAAACCCTATATTTTTATTAAAACATGCTTTAAATTCTGGGTCAAACAATTTGAAATTTGATTGGAAAGAAGAAGGCTTTATTAGGTAGAGATGTATGAACCTGTAAAGTATGAATACATACATACATATATACATATATATATATATATATATATATATATATATATATATATATATGTGTGTGTGTGTGTGTGTGTGTGTGTGTGTGTGTGTTCAATGCTCGAGGTTAGGTTTTTATTTCTTTGTTAGTGGGAAGGAGCTTGGGTTCTTTTGTGATGTTGATGTGAAAGCATTTTACATAGTTTCTGTTACTGTTTTTTTATTTTTTGCCCCACGTTCTTGTAATGAATTGCCACCTCCACACACACATGTGGCTGCAAATGTAGGTGAAGGAAGTCCTGATTTGATGCTTTCATGTTCCATTTACCTAAGCATTGTAGTAATCAGAAAGAGCGTGAGAAAGTGAGGAGAATTTCAATTCATCTTTACACCTTTAAGAAAGGACAATAATCGCTATGATTAATTAATGACCAAAAGAAGCAATATAACAAAGTAATGATCCTTATCCCTCTTGTTAACATTACTATATATGCAAATTAAGTTAACCTTAATGAATTACCAATGCATTTTCGTCCTACTCTCTTAAATCTTCTCTTTACTTCACACTTTATTCCTTCATAATTTTGGAAACAAGCTTTCGGCTAAACAGCCTCCCCCTCCTTCTTCTGTCTATTCCATCTTTTCTTGTTTTTCATTCCTGTATACATGCAAGCACCTTCACAAAGTAAAACTTGTACCACTTCATTTTCCTTTCCCAGCAATATCGATCGTCATATTTAACTTTACCTACACTTTAAACTTTGTTGGATCCAGACCAAATCTTACCCTCTCACTTTTTTTCTTGAGGGGGGGGGTCTTTTATTATGTGACTATAGAGTTTTGTGAATGTGAAATAAGGTGATGAGTTTCAGACTTGTCATGCTATATAGCTACTTTCACACAAACATTTTGGTGCATCTTTTCATGACTAAGACAAGAGGGAGGGTTGTTCATATTGGAATATAAAATATCTATACATGTAGTGTATGAAGCTAATGAAGGGGGTGGTGGGGTGGGGGGTGATAGATGGACATGGTTGCTCTATAGGGTTTTGATGATTAATCAGACGACTCTTTTGTCTCCACTCTGTCACTATACAGGTCCATGGTCGGCACTATCACAAAGCATGAATAAAGAACACCACGACATCCACGTTATTAGACGCTCCCCCTCGAGACTAGCTCATATCTACCCCATAACTACTCATCTTTTTTCTTTGTGCTTTTCAAAGAGACAAATGCGTGTAAGTTGATGATCAAAAGCTTGTACAGTATCAGATAAAAAAAAAATGTGAATCTGTGAATGCGCTTATAATCTACTGCAGTATATATGCTAGCTACATTGTCTAAGGGGTACGTAACAAGTGTTTAATTCCATTTTGCTTTATGGGATTGTTTTGGTTTTCGAAAATGATCAGTGAAGGGGACATGGATGAATATGTATATGATTGTATGTGTGCATGCGAGAGTTGTTAATTATGAGTGCTATGACTTAATTTAATTAGGAAGAATCAAAGCGATCATTGGCTGGGACTTGTGAGCATGATATTGATTATTGGACAGGCAAATACAAGGAGTTTTTAGGTATAAATATGAAGTTTAGGTGCCATCATTTTGATTGTCTGGGCTTCACTTTTTGTTGCTTTTTTCTTGCTTGCTTTTCTTTTATTATCTGTCTCTTATTCTTTCCATAAAAAATCTGAATTAGAATGGGGACAATGAGTGGCATAAGGACTTGAGAGTAGTGCTGTGTCTTGTATTCAGCATCAAATCCTCAGAAACCATATCTGAGAAATTATCATTCTCACTTTTGAACCCTCAAGCCATCAAGGGGCCTCTATGAAACTTTTAGGAGCAGGCCCACGAGAAAATGGGTAATTTCCCAGCCAAAAAATTGAATTTTCCAAGGGTCTGGTCTTCTCTCTATCCTTGTCATATGGACACCAAAAGTGGGAAATTCCAAATTCCCTTACAAAAAGAGAGGATAAAGAGCTAGATTCTACATCCCACAGAAAACACCCCCAAAGCCCTACCATTTTATTGCGAGGGAAAAGTATCTTTGGCTTTTTGGTTATATACTTAGGATTCCTCACACCTCTAGCTTTAAAGGTTATTTTGTTTACAAATAAAGGAACTTCGTGGGGGAAGGTTATTCTTTAATACAAGATAAGGAAAGCAAGAGATGTAAAGGAACCTTCGTGCATTAGTATACACATTTAAGACAAAAATAAAGGCAGCTTAGTGCCTGGTTGGTCCCCTTTGCTGTGTGAGAGCACATGGCACCCTCTAATACGTTTACAAAACGCTGGTTCCATTTTAACTTGAACAACCATTTAGTGACCATATGTAATTACTACGGTCTTACATGATATAATAATAAGTGAATTATAGGCAATACATATTCATGAATCCATCAATTAGCCCAAACTCTCATGTCTACTAATAATATTTGGCCCTCATGATGAAGAATATTGGTGGTCGGAACCAAATGCCACGGCAAAAATCCAAATTTCTCATTTAATTCTTCAACTTTTTATGCCCAATGAGATGGCGTCACATCTCCCCTCATGCCCCAAAATCTGAGGATGTTTATTAATTTTGGTCACCATTCATATAAGCAGAATGCTCATCCAGCCCCTAAACCCATTAACCATGACTGTCATGAATAAAATAATTAATTGTATATGCAAACTCAGAGGGAAAAATAGAGCTTTAAATATCCTCTTTTTTGGTCGACCCAGTGCATGCATACAAACTTGGCTTATGTGCGTTTCTTTTTTTAAAAAGGATTAGGAAGAGACCAATGTCTGATGAACAAATTTATATTGCCATTATTGTCCTTCCAACCCAGTTTTTGTCCTAATACCTGTCCCATTAACCCTATAATTCAAAAGCATGCTTTTGATTAACATCCAAAACTTTTGCTCCAACTTGGAGTAAAAAATATATTTATTAACTGTACGTGTCGATGATTGTTTATTTGATTTTGCATAAACTGTTCGGTGGGGGATTCAAATATAATTTGAAAAGAAATTATACTTTTATTCATATATTTCACAAAGAAATAAGGAAAAGAAAGAAATGAAAAAATGTTAAATGAAATGAATAACATGATAAAATAAACAAAAATATTAATTATAAGAACAAAATAACTTTAATTCAAAATTAAATGGATCCCATCCCACCGTGTCGGTCTAGCAGGAAATGCAATATTAGTGCATTAATTGATTGATGGAAGTAGCAACTACCTTTAATTAATAAGCATGTCTTGATAAATGGACAAGTGGAGAAAGACACGTTGGGTTGGGGGATCCACATTTGGAACTATACGAACCCCTTATAAAGCAGCGAATGGTATGCTACATGGAAAATGACTATTACTCTTGTCAATATGGAAGACCTAGATATTTTACTCCATGGATGAATTCTTGTATACACCATGTAAAGGGCAATATGATAATAATAATAATAATAATTCAATCAAGTGGCCTTATTTCGTCATTCATTCATAGCTCCATCAATTATGCAGAGAAACATCCAAGAGCAATGGGAGAAAGAAGAAATGAGCTAAGATTGTCACTAAGTTGCCATGATTTTCTTCACTATGGTCCATCTAAGCAGAGAGTTTGATGAACATGGGTCTAGACAGCAGTGTATGGATGTGATGTGAGAATGGGATGTTCATCCAATAACTAGTTACATATGGTTGTCATGCGAACGTACAGGTGATATTATTATTAAGATTGCATAACATTCATGGTTACTTTTCTACATAGACACTGCAGGTAAAAAGTCATGGTAGTGTGTGTTAATGCGAATGTATGCAAAAACAATATATACCTCGTGTCGGGGCAATGGGACTAAAATGACAAGCTCTCCGTGAGTGAGCTCAGCTTTTAACTATTAGTAGTTAGAGAGGAAGAAATTCTGTACTGAAGTAACTTTTGTAAGATGCGTTGCTTTGTTTTTTTATTTTTGCTTTTGCTCTTCAAACTTTAATTTGTTTGCATGCTTTTTAAAGTAATTATGGCAATGGTTCTTCCTATTGGTAAGAAAGCTAGTTCCCTTGCTGGTTGCTTCCCATCTTCCACTTAATTAACTATAAATGTTTAATATTTTGTTAAGAAATAAAATATCTAGTGAGAGAGATACCGACAAATTATTAAGTGTGTTTGGATTGTAAATAAGGGACTCAAAAACCAAGGAGTATTTTTAAGGTTATCATGATTTTCTCAACCTGATTACTACGTTTCCAAACGCACACTAGCATGTCATGGAAACACATTAAGTAACAAGAGATCATTGTTTAAAATATGAAAAACAAGAATTTAATGGTTGAGTTTTAAAATCTCATTCGAGAAATGAAAGCAGACCAAATCAAACAAAGAGTGGTGACATGGAGAGAAGTAATGCAAAGTGTGTCTGATATTTCATGAAATGGGAAAGGGGGCAACTGCTTGATAATACCACAATAGAACAGTCTGTAGACAGTCACGAGTAGGCGGTTGCTAATTGAGGAGTCATCGTCAGTGATTGGCCATCTTTATGGCTAGCGGGACCGACGAGTCCATCCGCTTCAGTGTTTTGCCTCGCTAGATTCCAGAAAGGTTCTTATAGTTTCTTTTCTTTCAGTAATAAGAACAAATGGCAAACCTACAAAGTGTCTTAAATGAGAGTCATGTGGCATGAGCTAGCAATACCCAATAGTTTTCAAGAGATTTTTGTTCTTAAGACAAGTGAATGTGAATAATTGAAGCAGTACATCTAGATGCATATGCTTGTATACATCGTATATAACTTTCATTTTGGGGTCAGAGAGCCCGAGAATCACATGATTCATTCAAGAATAATAGATGAGAATGAGCATGGAAAGAAAAATGAAAGAAATCTATGAAATTAATAGTCATTATTATTCAATCCAATACAGAGCACACAGGAAAAGGCCCCAAAGACCCTTTTGCTCCTGTGTGAAGAGGGTTCTCCTCTCTGGAAAACAAATCAAAAAATTCAAGGTTTAAACCTATATATACACGTGTTTCCATCACACGCGCGGACACCAGACCATGGAGTCCTGTATAGTGAGGCCTAAGCTCGAGGCCGAAGAGGAAAAAAAATATCAACAGCTCCCGCAAAGAAAAACTAAGAAAAATAAAATCACACGTTCACACTTGATTGGCACGCGGCAGAACCGTCTGCACACGTGCCAGTACCCAAAGAAAGAGTCCACAAATTGTAGCCAAACTTCAACTTATTACCCTTCTGTTGTTTTCCCTGTTGAGGGTTATCCCATCAAAGTAACGCGGAAGTTGAAGAAGCAGTGATGCTGGCGAAGAAATGAAGCTTGCTTGACTAATGAATCCCACAACATGATGAACGGTTCAAACTTGTCAGTTTCAATTTTGAATCACCCAAGTTTTTTATAGCTGCCCTCCACAATCTCTGCAGCTTTGCCCCCACCATATTTCATCTCTTTCACCTATAATTAATGCAAACTTTGAATTCCAGCCCGCGACTTACTCCTTTCTTCCACACTCACCAGTTGCAAGAACATATCACATTAAATTCTTATACCACTGTTTCAGTTTTTTTTTTTTTTCTCTCATTACTTCCCCACATGTTGCAAAATCCCTCTCCCCCAGGGAATTCTGCATACTCATTAATGCGTCACCAACATAAATAAAAATTAAGAATTATAAATTCTCCAAACCCATCAAACTCTCGTACATACGATAGATATACATACTATAATACTCTACACCCTTACTCAAGTCATTTTTAATAGCAAAAACCCTCTAAAAAATGTTGAGGTTTCTAGACAACCTGGCCCACCTTATTTCATAATTTTTTTTTCTTTCCTTCTTTATTATTGTTGAACTTTTTCTCTTCACTCGGAGTTTCCTTTGTCTTCTACCCACAATCAGTTACTTAATTTCCTCCTCTTACAAGACAAGGAAAAGGAGGACGAAGAGGATGATAATGATGAGACACTTGACCTCATTCGGGTCCGAGTTGTTACTCGCAGCTGCGGCAACACTTTAGGGAGTTTTCTGCGGTTATTGTTAATCACAAGTTCTTGCATCAACTCGTAGCACCCTATAATTTTTTCCTGCAATAATCAGATATACGTGCTTTGGCAATCCCATCGATTTGTTTGTTTATGTCAAGCATATATTCAAAAAGTATACATCATAATTCAACATATTACATATGCTTACTTTTCGTAATCCCTCGCACCAGGATTCAGCATGCTCAGGCTTAAGCACAGACCAATTTGGAATTTCATTAGCTGCAGAAAGTATGGCTGCGGCAGCAATGCATGATGGCCTGTAAGCAAGAAAGCTAGCCTCTGCGGACAAAGTAATCAAATAGGAAACTCATTAATCTTAGTTACTAAAAACACAACTTTCCTTACTATCTAATACTTCTTCATAACTCTATTCAATAAATTACCTATTATAGAAATAGATACCTTGAATATTAGACACGATGATTTCTGTGGCCCGGGAAATAAGGAAGCTGGCAAAAGTTCCCGTTGAATCTACTTTGCACGCAAAGAAAGCGAGGAAACAAAGTGGGGTTACTGATCGTAGCCTCCAATCCAAGACACCCAGAACAAGCAGCTCCATCTTACGAATTGTTCTCGGCTCAAATATGTACTTGGCACCTTCTATCTGCATTTTATATATCATGAAAATTACAACATGAGAATTTTAACTTTTAATAATCAATAAGGATTAGTTTTCGTTACAGAAGAGCTTATATTTGAGATCATTTCATTGACTCTAGTCCAAAAGCGCGAGGCCAAAATATATAAATGGGACTTTTATTATACGTACCTGAAGGTCCAACAGAGATGGAACCAGAGGTTCCTCCATCTTTGCCGCCAAAGACAAACATGCAACAGATAGAAGTTGCAGAGGCCACCCATTTGTTTCCTGTAGACATGGATGCACAGGACCATATATCAAACAGTGAATCGAAAAGGTCATCATAAGCATCACCACAGTAATTTTTTTAAAATATCTGGATTAACAGTGGTAATACTTTTCAAACTTTCTGGCTCAAATGCCAGCATGTATCCCTCACGTGACATGCACCTGCAGATAAAAGTACTAGAATCTTCTGCAAGCTGTCACTATCCAATGTATACAACAGTATAGATCGCCTAATACGCACATTGTTTATATTTACACGCTAATTTTTTTATATATAGATAACATGTCGTATAAATAACTCATATGATGTCTGTATTAACTTTTGCCTAGAACTCAATATTTTCATAAAACCATGGCATGAGGTTTTGTCGCACATAAGAAAATGAGTTGTTTAATCAATAATTGATATGCTTTTGGAATAGTAACTCCTTTTCGATTGGGATAAAGCGATCCGAATCCCTGAGAAATTTGTTGACATAATATTTAAAACTTATATTATTTGCACGTAACCAGTATGAGGACAGAGCGTAAATATTTTATGCATAGATATATGTTCTATCTATATAATGTCATATTTAATACTTTTTTTAATCATCTCATCCCATCTCCAATATCAATTAATATACCAATCTAATGTTAATCTCACATAATTTAGCATTCATTACCTACTCCAACTTATACTGATTATAATTTGTTCCGAGACTCACGTACATTTCTTTCTGAAAAATTATATGCAATTAATTTACACAAATTTTCATTCAATAATAAAAAAACAGCAAAAGAAAATAAGAAATAAGATTATTAGAAAATGAAAATAAATAATTCTAAAAAAAAGTATTATATTAATAACCTTACTTTATGGAACCATCATTTTCCTAGATAAGTATAAATATACGTTCAACAACAGAGATAGCAAAATAAAGTATGAGATCATTATTGCTGTAAGCATTTCGTAGGCTTCACATCTGAAAAGTCAAACATAATTACCGCGTAGATGTTAAACTTTCTTCCCATTACAAAACATGAAAAAGATACATTTGAGCTACAGTTAAACATAATAGCATTTATGTGATTAGTTTATAATCTTAGTTAGAAGATAAAATAATCATAAAATAAAAAAAATAAAAAAATAGGTATCACCACCACTTCCGCCACCGCCACCACAGTGATAATAATTAAACAAATAAACTCTGTCGTGAATTTTCCTACTATTGGAACAAACTTAATATGTTAAAGCTGGCGAGAAATGAGAGCTCACAGGTAACCGGCGAGAATCCAAAAATCGATCCATATAATTGACGGCGAGGTACGCCGTCAAAGGTTGAAAGCCATAATACGCGTGTACCTGCGAAACAAGCACCAAACAGTGATTAATCAATTAGCATGAAGACAAAAGAAAAGTAACGCCGTGTATCCGCCGTGAACTCCGTAAGACGCAGATCTAGAAGATACTAGAACCACGGAGTGACAGTAACAATAGCGGTGCATTTGAGCTTGGAGCAGTCGGCTAGTGGCAATAGCGTAATATGAGCACAACGACATGTCCGATTGTGTTATATATTTTGTTCCGTTTTTTTTTTCGTTTAGTTAATTTATTTACCTTGAGAATCCATGCAACGGATTCCTCTCTGGCGTCGGCGTCGAGGGAGCGAGATTGGAACCTAGAGAGGTACTCGAATCCGGGGACGAAGTTGCGCTCGTGTTCGATGAAACTGGCGATTGAATAGTCCTCCGTGGAAGGCGGAGGCGACAGAGGTGGGGGAGAGGAGTCGATGTCGGAGGAGCATTCCGGCGAATCTCCGGAAAGGATGCCGGAGGAGTCCTCGGCGCAGAGGAGGTCGTAGTCGGAGATGCATGAAACCGACATGAGGACCGCCGGCTATAGTTCCGCATTCATTATTTTGCCATGAGAAGTTGGTGGATAGGTAGCCGGAACCTTACCGGAGATATCGCCGGAGTAGTGATTTCGGAGAGAGAGAGAGAGAGGGAGAGAGTGTGGTTGATGGATGAGAAAGATGCTGCTGTCTTTGTTTCAAGGCTGTGCATCTGTTTGTTTCACTATAAATATGCGTGCTTCTGTCAGATTTTCCATTAACAATAATAAATATTAATATTCCTCCAACTTTTTTTGTATCAAATATCTACACCAGGAATTTTTTTTTTTAAGTTTAATTTCCATGCATTAAAAAGTGTAATCTAATTAATAAAATTATTATATATATAATTTTTAATTAGATGTAAAATATATTTATAGTTTCAATACATGTATTATTAACTTTTTTTAAACTAATTAAAGAACAAATAAATTTTTCATTTTTAGGTGTGAAAATAGGATTACAATTTTGAGAACAAGATTAATTTCATTGTTTTAAAGTTTTTTAATTATTTAAAGTGCATTGATAATATAAATATATTTTACTTTATCATTTAATTATAAATTATCATCTATAATGAGGTTATTGCATTTAATGATCGTTACTTTTAAAGGATTTTCATACCCGAGTAAGTTTCTTAATTTTTTTAGAAATTTTAATTAAATCTTTAAATTAAAAGTTTGTTATTACATAGTCGATCTTGATAAATTGATAAATAGAAAGAACGTGAAAGTTTTATAGACTATAATGTCTCAGTTACAGAAATTATAGTTTATGGTGAAAGTTTTATAGACTATAATGTCTCAGTTACAGAAATTATAGTTTATGATTGAATTACATTAAAAAGTTCGCATACATTTGATTAAATCTTTTAAAAATGATAAATAAAATATTTTTAATTTATTAATTACATTAGGAACTATCGTTCTATAAAATTGAAAAGTTTTAAAATTAAACTGTAATGTTGCGCTCATACTCTTCTTATAGACAAAATGTGTATCATTACTGCATATCACAAACCATATTTACAGATAAGTTTTCCACCTAAACTTATCAACATTTTGAGCACTGATTTTGGCTAAGGATTAAAGATTACTCTAAAAAATTTAAAGTAAATATTAAAATTATGTCATCTTAGCATAACCAATTTTCACTTTTTTTATAAATAAAAATTTGTATTTGATTCATAAGATAATATTAATAGAATTAGACTGTTAGTGTCCAAGAATAAACAATAAGAGTATTTCACAATATAATCTTAGTATGGAAATTAATATCCATTATTTTCTCTTAGAATCTATTTTTGGTCATTGAAAAAAGTGTCATGATTATTGTAAACACTTTTTCCATACTTGGATCGAAAGTTATCTTCAAGAATATATTTTTTTTAATCTCATCTTAGTTTTTCTTTATATTTATCTTGATTATGTGAGTGACAATTTTTTTTATATTGTTTTTTATTGTTTTTTCATGTTTAATTTTATCAAGTTATTTATTTTTATAATTTCCAATATTCTACGGAATCAAAATGGAATGTTTCGTACCTATTTATATTCATAAAAATTAATTTCCGCTAAATTCCTAGTTTCTTTTGTGATTCTTATTCATTTTTACTGTTGTTATATTTTTATATTTATTTTATTAATTTTATCATTTATATAAATATGAAATTCGGCCAATTTATCTTCATGTGTTCTTAAAATGTTTCTATGATCCAAGTAGTTGAATTTTAATATTAATTCATTCTATTCATTATTTGAATGTATATAAAGGTTCACACTAAATTGTGTATTAATTATTAGTTCTCAGTTATTCACTATTATTCACACCACAGTACATATTTATCATTCAACTTTTTAATTAACTGATAATTATACTTGTAATCAATTTTTTATTTATTAAGTTTCACACAAAATTAAGTAAATTTTAAAGTATCTTGAAAGGATGTTTCTACTAAAAATATTTAAAAATAAAATAAATATTTTATTATAAAATTCATAATTAAATTATTTAAAAATAAAGAAAGTTATTTAAAATTAGAAAAAAAATTGTTGGTATAAATAATTTTAACTAAATTTTAAATAATTCTATTGTAAGACTCTTAATAAAATATTTAATTTTTTTTTAAATAAAAAAAATTCCTTCTTAATATTGAATATTGAAGTATATATATTATAAAATTCAGTCTTTCATAATCAGAATTCAAATAGCATATTTAATTTCTTGTTGAAGAATCTCTGAACACAAATGCAAACAAAACCTGTAATCGTATCTAGATTGGGAATTGACTATATTATATTGCTACATTCATCTTTTCTTTTCTGGGGTATAGTTGGCCTAATCATCTTCAATATATCTGGAACAACAAGCCAAAAGAATTACAGTATCGTTGAGTACTTTTATTTAATGATTAAATGAAAATTAATGTTATAAAAAGTTTATATATATTATTAAATAAAAATTTAATAAAAAAATTGTGTTCCTTAACATTATATTTTTTATGTTTTAGATTAATAAATACATTTAAAATTTGATAAATAAGAAATTGAAAATACAAAATGTAATGTAAGACGTACGATTTCTTTATTAAATTGTTTAAAACTGCCATGTATACGTCTTATTTTAGTTGAGCATTGATATGATATATTCAAAATGTAATTTTTATTTAAATCAATATTCATCGAAACTTTATTTTTAATGCAAAAATATTTCATTTGTACACGTCAGTTAAGATCAAAAGTAATATGAACGACATTTTTTAAAATATTATAAAATATTGTAATTTGTACATTATATACTTATTTATAAGATATCATCATAAAAAATATTTTACCTGTCACTTATGTTTTTTTACTGTGCAAGAAAACTTCGTAAAGAAGTTTTTCTCATGCACAGTAAAATTTTTTTCTTTTATATGTTCGAAGGGGATGAATGGTTTCTGCGGGAAATTCTTCCTCTCATATCACATATTCCTCATTTTTCTTCTTCTATTGTCTAAATTGTAAGCAACGAGACTCTACTCGTGCAGGATCCGGTGAAACGAGAGAGAGCTTGAATTAAGTGTGAAAGCTTCGGTAGAAATATCATACCAGGTAAGGGGAAGTTTAATTCATTCAATATATGAAATTGAATTGCTGGGTACTCTGTGAATAAGGAATAGGAGTAGAGATATGAATTATTTGAATGTCTGATTTTGAAGAGTTTTTGATTTTGATGAACTGTTCACCGTTTGAAAGTTTTTGAAATTCTTGAAATTAAGGATGAATTATATAATAAAATTGTTCAAGGGTAAAATAGTCATTTTTGGGACATGGAAGGAATTTTTGAAAATGTCCAAGGGAAAAATAGCCATTTTCGGGACATGGAAGGAATTTTCAAAAATGACCAAGGGTAAAATAGTCATTTAGGGACATACATGAAATTTTAAGAAAATATTAAGGGCAAAATAGTAATTTAATGATTTCAAAAATGATTTCGAAAATAGTTTCGGAAATAGTTTCGGAAATGATTTCGGAAATGATTTTAGAAAAAAAATATATATAAAGAGAGAGAGAGAATGAAAGTAGTGTGTTGTGACATGTGTGGGTCGACCGAGCCCGATGGCCGATGCCCGAATCGGTCCCGAGACGTTATATATTGGCTAGACTGAGCCGAAGGGTTGGTGTCAGAATCAGTCAAATACTATTTTTATTGACCCGAATGAGCCGTGAGGACAGGTGGTCCAGAATCCGGCAAATGTGAATAAATTTTGTTATGTTTGAATGGTATCCGGGGTAGTACAGAGTACATTAGTGTAATAATTATGTCGGAGGATTCTGAATGAGGTCCCAGACTTCACTGATTGGTCGGGTCAGGTAGACTACGAGATCAGGTAGTGAGAAGTCGATGGGGGATGATCGGTGACGCGCTCGGAGGGGTACTCCAAGTATGAGTGATGAAGGGCGCCAGGTAATCCTACTCCGTGTAGAGGGTGATCAGAATGGTACTGCGGGTACCGATCACAATGTGCCCACAGATGATAGCCGCTGAGTTCGGGCATAGTTAGGGTATACTTCCGGAAGGTGTCTTAGTGTGTTGATAATTTCGTAATTGATCATAATATATAATTATTACTTCTATATCTGTTTTATTATATCGAATGATTTAATACTTACCCCTATTTTTCCATGTGGATGGGATTGCGATGATCACTTTTATGTGGGAGCAGATCAAGAGTTGAGAGATGGAGATGTGACTACTGGACAACAGGGATAGTTCAGTGAGATAGCTTCGAGGGAGCTACTTTTACATGTATAATATATAAATAAATTATGTTACTATATTTTGAGGTTCCGTTAGTGAATCGGAATTTCAATCTATGTTACAATTACAGTAATATAATGTAAAATAGATGTCGTTATTTACTTGTTTACTACTTTGTGAAGACATCATTATAGTAGCGATTTCTAGGGTCGTTACAATAGTGGTATCAGAGCGGTAGTATCCTTGTAAATCTGTGGGGATGGGTAGTGACCCTATGATAAGTCCGTTGTGATTATACTCTGATATGTGAGTGTGTGTGAATGTTTGCTCTGTATTGATGGTTGCATTTGATATAGGATGACACCGCGACCTCCTACTCCTACTCCACCGAGTGTAGATGCCCTAGTCAGGGCAATGGAAATGTTGGCAGCTGCCATGCAACGACAGGCTACCTACCCGCAGTGGAGGCTAACTATGGCATCATCCTCTGCTGGATTTCACCAATCAGAGCAGATGGGACTGACTGAGTTCATAAGGCATAATCCGCCTCGTTTTGGAGGAGATTTGGGTCAAGATACAGCAGAGAAGTGGTTGCGTGAAATGGAGAAGATTTTTTAGGCTACCTTATGCCCGGAAGATAGGAAATTGACATTCGGAAAATACTTACTAGTGGATGAGGCTGAGTTCTGGTGGTCAGGGACTCAAAGGATGATGATTGCACGTGGGGAGGTGTGTAATTGGGAAACCTTCC